AATAACCAGGCATCACTGCCTCTGCTTTCTCCTTTTCCTGCTTTCTACAGAGGGTCTGAGAAATGCCAGATTCTCATGTTCACAGCTCCCTTCCAAGTAGGAGTAGAGGCAATATTATTGTATTTTGGCCAATGAGACATAAGTGAAGGACTGCCTTGGTTTTGCTGGGAAAGCGTTTTGCTTTCCTGATTAAAATTATAGGTAGGAAATCATAATTTGCACTCCCTCTTCTCCTTTCTTTCTGCTTTGAACATAGGTTTTCATTTATTTTTCTTTTTTTCTGGAGGTATATCAAACATCTCATAATCATGAGAGGCCAAGACATTAGGTGTGGCAGAAAAGAAAGGAACTTTATCCTTGGTTATTTTGAAAATATTTTGCTACATTTCTTGTTAGGTAAACAGTAAATATCCATATGGTTAAAGGCACTGTTAATTAGGAGTTTTGTTTTTTACAGCCAGAAGCATTTCTGATACAGAGATCCTATCTCCTCTTCCAAATCACCAAAATATTTATTAGATGAAAAATCATCATGGAATATTATGTTAGAAACTTAGTTGGTAAAATATATTCCATTTACTTCCTATGATAGGTCACATGATACCTAATGTCCGGTTTTCCAAATTTCACATTATATTTGTTGTCTTTTCTTCCAAAATTAACTATCTGTACTCACATACAATGTTGATACTAACTTGCAATAAGAAAAATGGGTTTGTTGGGCAGAAATCATTGAAATGGTCTGTAATGCTCGGTCCTGTTTCTGGGTACATTTCCACCTCCAACCCACAGGACTCTCCATTGGGTCCTGACATTCCAACCATACAATTGCTTTCTTTGTGTCTTATTTGTGACATATTTTCTCCTAAATGGGATTTGCATGTGCTGTGACCCTGCCTGAGTGCTCCTTCTGACTGGTTCCTCCTCTTACTTTCCCTCTTAACCTCAATTTGCCCTTCAGGTCCAACCTAAAGCTTCACTTCCTCAACAAACCTACATGGAACCCTCACCCTAAACCACGCCTTTGTCATAACTTACAAAGAGTCATGAAAGTGCTTCCTTCTGAGCACTTTCATCAACATGAAATAACACGCTTAATAGTCTTCTGCCACACTCTTTCCTTGAAACCGTTCCTGTTTTTTGCTTTTTAATGTATCTCTGCACCTAACACAGCGTCAGGTGAATGTTAGGTATATAATACAAATTGGTTAAATGAATGAATTAAGGAATTAATGAAACTGGGAATAATTTAATGATGTTTCAAAATAAGTAGATACTCAGAACTGAAAACCTCTATTGCTGGCAAAAAAATTGTATTTCAGTGTGTATGGTTAGGACTGCTGAGCTTCAGATTAACTCTTTACATGCATATATTCTTGTTCCTTTGATGATCCAGCATCAGTGCCTTGGAAATTCAGCAAGTCATGTAAATTAAATTATGCTTTTTTATATTAATGTACAGAAAAGTACTCTGTGAAGCATAATAAATTATCTATGACTTATAGATTAAATTCCTCTTTTTCTCACTGTTCTTTGCTAGAGTTAATTATATTTACCTTTCCAAAGGTGTTATGCATTGAAACATAGTAATTGAATATCCTACCCTAGATAATTTAAATGCCACAAGAAGTTTTGTTTTTATTGAAAGCCTGAATCGCATAAAAAGAATGCTGCTTTTAAAAATCACAGTTACCAATACAAAGAATTCACACTTTCAGTTGTTTCTTAAATGTAACTTCTTTTTTCCTGTTTCATCAGTTTGCAGGTCTTAAATGAAAGTCAAATATACCATTTTCTAACTTTTTCTATTTAGAGATAATTCTGAGATCCTTTGCCTAATTCCTGGAATGAAACAAAACAAAACAAAACATTGAAATGACTTGTTCTAATCTCTCCTTTGCAGAAATCAGAAAGAAGAGGAGGTAAACTAGGAAAGCTGAAAAATAAAAAAGCTAAGATGTAAAATTGAAGAAAAAAAGCTAGCAAACTTTTTTGGTTGTTAGTCCTTTTATTTTAACTCATTTTATTTTCAGGGGCACATGTTCAAAGTTGTTATACAGGTAAACTTTGTGTCACGGGGGTTTGGTATACAGATAATTTCATCACCTGGGTAATAAGCATAGTACCTGATAGGTATTTTTTCTGACCCTCTCCCTCTTCCCACCTTCCCGCTTCAAGTGGGCCCCAGTGTCTACTGTTCCTTTTCTAGTATCCATGATGTTTTGGTTGCTGTATCCCTGAGGTAGCTTGAAGTAAAATTGCATGATGCCTCCCACTTTGTTCTTTTTGCTTAGGATTGCCTTGGCTATTCAGGCTCTTTTTGGTTCCATGAAAATTTAAAAAAAATTTTTTTTCTAATTCTGTGAAGAATGTTCAATATGATTAGTCTTTGTCTCCCCACCCAAATCTCATCTTGAATTGTAATTTCCATAATCCCATAATCCCCAGGTGTCAAGAGTGGGGCCAGGTGGAGGTAATTGGATCATGGTGTCAGTTTTCCTCATGCTGTTCTCATGATAGTGAATGAGGTTCTCATGAGATCTGATGGTTTTATAAGGGGCTCTTGCCCCTTCCCTCAGCATTTTTCCATCCTGCCACCTTGTGAAGAAGGTGCCTGTTTCTCCTTTGCCTTCCACCATGATTGTAAGTTTCCTGGGGCCTCCCCAGAAATGTAGAACTGTGAGTCAATTAAACCTCTTTCCTTTAAAAATTACCCAGTCTTGGGCATTTCTTCATAGCAGTGTGAGAACAGACTAATACAATGTCATTGGTAGTTTAAGAGGAATAGCATTGAATCTGTAATTTGCTTTGGGTAGAATAGCCATTTTAACAATATTGATTCTTCCTATCCATGAGCATGGAATGTTTTTCAATTTGTTTGTGTCATCTCTGATTTCTTTCGGCAGTATTTTGTAATTCTTGTTGTAGGCTCTTTCACCTCCCTGGTTAGCTGCATTCCCAGGTATTTTATTTATTTATTTTGGCAGTTGTGAATCTGATTGTGTTGCTGATATGGCTCTCTATTTGGATGTTGTTGGGGTATAGAAATGCTACTGATTTTTGTATGTAGATTTTGTATTCTGAAACTTATGAAGTAGTTTATCAGCCCAAGGAGCTTTTGGGCAGAGACTATGGGGTTTTCTAGATATAGAAGCATGTTGTCTGCAAACAGGGATACTCTGACTTCTTTTATTTGGATGTCCATTTTTTATTTCTCTTGTCTGATTTCTCTGCCTAAGATTTTCAATATTATGTTGAACAGAAGTGATGAGAGAGGGCAACCTTGTCTAGTGTCAGTTTTCAAGGGGAATACTTCCAATTTTTCTCCTTTCAGTGTAATGTTGGCTGTGGGTTCATCATAGATGACTCTTATTATTTTGAAATATGTTCTCTCAGTGCCTGGTTTGTAAAGGGTTTCTAACATGAAGGAATGTTGAATTTTATTGAAAACCTTTCTGCATCTATTGAGTAACTGTAGTTTTTGTCTTTAGCTCTGTTGATATAATGAATCACATTTATTGATTTGCATATGTTGAACCAACCTCATATTCTGGGGATAAAGCCTACTTGATTGTGGTGGATTAGCTTTTTTATGCACTGCTGGATTCAGTTTGCTTGTATTTTGTTGAGGATTTTTGCATCTATGTTCATCAAAAATATTGGCCTGAAGTTTTCTTTTTCTGCTGTGTCTCTGCCAGGTTCTGATATCAGGATGATACTAGCCTCATAGAATGAGTTAATGAGAAGTCTTTCTTCCTCAATTTTTTGGAACAGTTCAACAAGGTTGGTACCAGCTCTTCTTTATACCTCTGGTAGAATTTGGCTGTGAATCCATCTAGTCTTGGGCTTTTTGTGGCTGATGGGCTTTTTATTACTCATTCAAGTTCAGAACTTATTTCTGAGTTCAGGATTCAATTTCTTCCTGGTCCAGTCTTCAGAGGTTAAATATGTCCACGAATTTATCCATTTCTTCTAAATTTTCTAGTTTGTGTGCATGGAGGTGTTCATAATAGTCACTGTGTGTGTGTGTGTGTGTGTGTGTGTGTGTGTGTGTCTGTGTGTACTTCTGTGGAGTCAGTGGTAATATCTTAATTTTAAAGGCTGAGTTTACATTTCATTCAACATAAAACTTAATTTTCGGGACAGAGTCCAAATGGATGTGAAATATATATATGGCATGATAATTGATGCCAAGAAACAGCATAATCATTTGTTCATTTGTTTATTCTATTTTAGCCTCTATGACTGTAGCATTGACTGAGTTTAGTGCTGTTAATTAGACCACATTTTGGGACCATAATGAAAGCTAATAAATCTCTTCATCATTTCATATTAGACTTCTTGTTTATTTTAGACTTTATTATGTTGGTTTTTATTTTAAAAAACAAATTAGCCATGCATTTTTGTTGTAAAAATAATCCATCATTATAACATTGGACAGATATCTCCATATTAGTAAAATTACTTAATGTCAATAGAATATTAAATCAAATTGAATAACAACAAACTTTTTACTACTAAGGAAATAGAATTGACCCATCAAAACATATAAGCACAAATTCAGATTAAGTCAACAACACATATTGACTTGCAAGAAAGTTGGCTTGCTAGGAAATGTTATCGTTTGAGATGATATAATGATGAAGGTGAGAGAAATACGTACTCCCACGGACATAGTGCCATGAGCTTTATTACAGTGACTAAATTTGAGATAAAGAGCATGAGAATTATGAACTGGATGACAGGGTAAAAGAATTCATAGAAAGTCTAATCAGTTGTAGACCAATCATCACATTAGTTTTCTACTAACTTGATGTAAAGTACATCTCCTATAATTAAAAAAAAATCATCACTTCCCTTGTCTTTGTAGGTTTACTTTGTCTTTTGCAGTTTCTTTATGATGTTGTTTTGGGTTGCACGGAAATATTCTATTCATGCAGTGATTGCTAAATTAGCTGAAGAACTCAATGCAATTAAAAATCAAACAGCTGAAAGAGACTGTTTTTGCTATATATAAGGATGGGAGATTATGTTATGGCAAGCACTGATGAGCTACAGAAGGAACCACTTGTTCTACTTAGTGATTTGAGAGTGAACGTGAAATGCAATGGTCTATTGGTTAGCTCACCTGATACTTCTTGTTATTTGTAAAAATATGGTAGAACAAGCAAAGAAGAGAAGCATTCCCAAGAAGGGCACTCTGAAGTTCCGGTAAATTTATCCTCATGGCCTGAAGTTATTTTCAAGGAAAAATGTTTTGAAGGTATGAGAAACAGCATTTTTTGTATAAATTATTACTAGGTGACCTAGTAATAGAATAAGAACATCTAAATCTCATTCCTTTAGATATAAGGGAGATTTTTAAAGATACTCTGGTTGTTTTGCCATCCTACCATCTGATATTTTTCCAGCTTCCATTGTTAAGTTATCAAGCCCTGATCCTACTGTCAGATATTATTTATATATCTCAAGAATATAAGTTTTTGGCTAAACTAAATAATATCAGCTAATCTAACAAAAGTCGCCAAATTCATAGTGATACATTACAATAAATAAACAACTGTTTATTGTAGACATTTAGTGAGCAACCTCCAATGCAACAATTAAGATCCCAGATTCCCTCCAGTCTACAGTACTTGGATCTCTGCTCAAAACTGGGATAATCAACTGCAGAAAAAATTGGGGAGGATCTTGCAGAAAGTTTTTATGGGCCATCCCAGAGGTGCTATATGTAACACTTCAGTCCCCATGACATTGACCAGAACTCATGACCACAATGTTGTAATGAAAGCTAGTGTATTAGCTTCTGTCTCACAATTTTTGGGAATCAGGAGTCTAGGCATGACTTAACTGGGTCCTCTGTTCAGAATCTCACAAGGCTGAGATAAAATTCATCTAGACTCCATTTTCATCTGGAAACTCAACTAAGTCAGAATCTGCTTCAAAGCTCTCTCGTTTGTACCAGAATTCATTTCCTTAAGGATGTATGACTGAAGACCCAACATTTTTTTTTCCTGGCCATCAGCTAGAGTCTGCTCACAGGTTCTAGAAGCCACCTGCAGTACCTTGTCAGATGGACTTTCTCAACATGGTTGATTATTTCATAAAAGCCAACAAGACAAATCCTCTGTGTGTGTGTGTGTGTGTGTGTGTGTGTGTGTGTGTGAGAGAGAGAGAGAGAGAGAGAGAGAGAGAGAGAGACTCCCTTTTTACCTCTCTTGGTTGCCAAGTGAGAATAATGTAACACAATCATGGAGTCACAGGAATGGAATCACAGAAGTGGCATCTCATCACCTTTGTCATATTCTGTTGGTCTGTTGCAAGTCTAGGTTCTACCAAGGAGTTTTCACTAATGACAGTGAGATACACAGAGTAGTGATTCAATTAAATGAAATGGCCATGAAGCAAATATTCAAATGAATAAGCATATCATGCAAACTGTTGCTACAGAAGGAAAGAGTAGTGTTATCAGGACACGTAATTGATGGAGCTGTCTGGTAGCATTGAAGATATCCCCCATAACGATAAGATTTGAGCTGAAATATGAAAGAAGAGAGTTAATTTAATGAAAAAGCATAGAGGAGCTAAAAGTGAAAAATTCTAAAAGTGAACTGTATGTTCCAAAGCTCTATGGTAGGATAAAAGCATGATACCTTTAAGAAATGGAAGGAAAGCCCACATGTCTGAAGGAGAGAAGCAGAGGAAGAGGGAGGGCAAGGCATTGGATAAGAAGAGCAGACTCCAGGTATTTCAAGGCTTCCTAGGCCGGCTGGCTTGACGTTAAGAGTAATGGGAGTTCATTGAAAGGATTTAAACAGGAGAGTGACCCAATCAGATTGCATTTATAAGAGTTTATTTGTGCAATTACTATATTACACAATGCACATTTGAGAATTTAATCCCAGAGATAGGAAAGTTTAGTCACACAAAAACCTGTACGTAAACATTGATAGCAAATTTATCCGTAAAACCTCAAAACAGAAAACAACCCAAGTGGTCCTCGATGGGTTACTGGTTAAACAAACTGATGCATCCATGTCGTGAAATACGATGGGATACTAGTCAGTAATTTAAAAAAATGTGAGCTATTGAGACACACAACTACTTGAATGAATCTCAAGAAAATTATGCTGAATAATAAAAGTCAATTCCAAAAATTATTCCATTTACATAATTTTCTTGAAATGAAAAAATTACAGAAAAGTAAGACAGATTAGTGGTTGCTAGGGTTTAGGGATGGGGAGAAGTGGGCAATGGGAAAGAGGTGGGTAGTTATAAAAAGACAAAAAAGAGGGATCATTGTGGTGATGGGGCTGGTCTGTAATTTGACTGTGGTGGTAGATACAGAAGCCTACACATGTGACAAAACTGCATAGAAATAAATACACACAAGTATACACACATACACACAAACACGTGTGCACACACACACAGGAGCAGAAGTCAAATTGGAAAAATCTAAAACGGATTGGTAGATTGCATCAATGTCAATATCTTGCTTCGGAAATTGTGTTATGCTTTTGCAAGATATTACTATTGGATGAAGCTGGCTAAAGAGTACAAAGGATCTCTTTGCAGTATTTCTTACAACTGTGTGTAAACCTACAATTATTTTAAAAGTCTATATTTTTAATCTGATTACAGTCATTGCAATGACCAAGAATGGATATTAGGAGAAGAGTCAAGGAGATTTTTCAGTTGTTCAGTGGAAAAATGGGGATAGCTTAGACCAGAAGGCGGAAGAAACAGGGACAAATTAATACATTCAGCCATGATTTAGGATGAAAAATGTACTTGATTTAGAAATTTGGAAGCCAGAATGAAGGATTTATCTGGAGCTGCCCTAATTTCTTAAAACATAGCATTCAAAATTTTCTCATCTTCATGATTTTGCCTAGGCTCTCATTCAAAAACGATCTTCTTCACATCTTTCGCTGGTGAAAAGACTCACTCTAAATACTAGGATTTCTTGTGTACCAATCTCATAGCCCTTGTCACTTGTCACCTTGTATTTTACATCTTTGTGTACCTATCTTAGCTCTCGGATGATAGATTAAATTTCTTTAGAGATTATGTCTGATAAAAGTGTATAGTCCCTATGGCAGCCAGCACCAGGCCTTAGACCTCAGTAGAATATTTTTAATGGAATACTGTATGTATGTGAACATGCTAGGAGGCCATGTCCCCTCATAACAATTGTATTTGGCTATAGTTAGCTAGACAAATAAAATTACAGAAGAAATTAAGACTATTCTTCTTGCTGTTGTATCTAAATGACTTTTGGTGGTCTGCTAAAGTGTTTATTTAAATAATAGGTCATTGACCCTGAAATTGAAAAGGTGTCTTCAGGAGCCCTTGTCTTTTATTATCTCATTTATTTTTACAGAGCAGAAGTGTCATGCAGCCTTCCTGTAGACCTGCAGCCAATGGTGACAGAGAAGGAAAAAGTGATTAGGTCACACAAGAGGTGATTTACTTTGAAGAGCATCTGGTTAGGAGGAACTCATCTCAACGAGGCATAAATTTTGTTTCTAACTGACTGAAAGCAAATCATTCAGAATTTTCTAGTATAGAACAATATGGATTTATTAGCAGATTGATGATAAGTTCTACCACAAATGAGGGCCCTGGTACAAAGTCCTGATAAGACCAGAGAAGCCAAAGCCAAAGAAATCATTCCCATCCCTGCGTATCTGAGTCACGCTCATTCCATGTCATGAAAACACATTGTGAGAGAAATTATACATCAACAATGAAGTCTCTTCTTTATAAAAAGCATATTTTTTCTTATTTTAACATGAAGGATATTTGAGAGATGCCAGAAGAATGTTGCAAACACTGTGAGCAACTAAGAAAACTATGAAAAAAATTGTTAAGAAAATATTAAAGGGCAATATCAGAATATCATGGGGTGTTTCTACACAGACCGGTGGTTTTCATTGGGGCTGCATATTAGAATTACTTAAGGGCTTTACAAATCAAAACCATCAGACACAAACCCCAAATGTGAATTTGAGTACTCGAGATAAGACCTTTGCCTTTATTTATCATTTATTAACATTGTTGTTATTATTATTAAAATGCCCCAGAGACTTCTAATGTGCAGTAAAGTTTGGGAAACACTGACTTGGACCAACAGCCAGATTAAAAGTTCAAAAATGCTGCATTTGGTCCAGAAAAATATTTTCCTCCATTTATCTTTCTCTCATCTTTCCTAAATAATAGGTTTCCTGTAGATCAAATGTCATGAATTGTTATCTTTTCTCTTTGCTAAGAATTCCACAAGTTCAAGATGAAGACTAGGTCTGTCCATAACTGTTATACGACTCAAAGAAATCGTTAGAAATATAAGTATTCCAATGAAAGCTATACCATCAGATGCAGAAAAATAAAAATAAACCCAGACTTCGATTTTTTTGTTTGCACATAGTCCTGGATCCCAACATGAATATATCCCCTCAAATGGATTTGTCATCCTGGTTCAAAAGCGACGGCATAGTCGTAAGGATAGAGTTCATCTTGACCCACTTTTTTTGAAAATGACTGTAAACACAGATGATTTAAGGAAGTGCTGGGTACATTACTTTCCAAGTAATGTAAACAGTGGCTTTTAAAGACGATATTCCCAGACAATATTCCAAAGAGCAATCCATCACATAGTGCTGTTACAGATTTTCCTCCAAAAGATGGGAGAGACCAAATCTTTTAAACAAACCAGCATCAGGGCATGGTAAGACCATGAGCAAAGAATCAGAACACTTCCAAGATAAAAGACAGAATGACAACCTTTGAATCACTAGACACCAGATGCATTCTGAGTAGTACTAAATTCCTTGGATGTGACATAGATTAATACCATGAGTAATCACTGCCAAGATTAGCCATTTATCTCTTCTATGGTACTTGGGAAAGCTTTGAGATGTGAGCGAACAGAGGTAGCCTGAATCAACTTGGTAGCAGTAAAATGGGAAAAAGCTTCGGAATTTATTATGCCTTTGATATGTCTGCATTCCTCCCTAGAAACATGACTCATAGTTAAAAGTTAATTCATTCAGTATCTCTTGAATCCTAAATAAATCCTTTGGCAAGATAGGTGTGTGGGGAATACTTAGATCATTTACAAAGATTCTGTGACCTTAAATAACTCACATTCTGGTGAAGAAGTGAGAAAAAAAAATTGGTCGTGAAAGTATCTGCATGATTAAACCTTTGCTAGAGAAGTGGAGCTAG